AAGAAGCAGGCGAACTTGCTCCTTAGTAAGAGGGTAGGGCTGGTTCATGGCTGGAGAGCACCAGGGCTGTAATAATATACGGTTGTATGCCGAAGGACACGACCTACTTATAAACACACGCAGAACATTCTAGCATGCTCTGGAAAAAAATTGTACTGGATATTCAAGAAATTCTGAGAACTTTCTTTCCAATCAGATAGATGGAGAGGCATGTAAGTCTACTGCAAGAGCTGTCATATCATCCCTCACATCTGTACAAGATTTGGTAGCAATAGTGCATCTAGGGTGGAAATAACTAGTGATATTAGAATTTTATGTCTCCTGACAAAATATTTTGCATGTTAGAATAATTGTTCTATATCAAAAATACTTTGCTTAATTTGCACCATTTATTTCATAGGCAGCACTTGGGTTTTATGCAATATTATTCATTGGTGTTTTCTCAGATTGAGTGATTCTTGATCATGAAATATGCACTTCAAAATTGGTTGCTTGGGGTACCATGGGAGAGTTAGTCATGGGGTAGACTGGTGTGTAACTCTGACTGTCCCAATACACCAAGTGTTCTTAAATTTATTGATAATTTCCCTTTTTCAGGTTTTGGAAAATAAACTAGAACATGGAAAGTGAAAGAGGAGACATCTTGGCAGATCAAGAATAGCAACAGACACCCCAGAAAAACTAGAATTGTAGCAGCTTACTTCAAAATCAAGAAAACGAAGCAAGCATGCAAAATGTAAATCTGAATGCAAGCAATTAGAAGAAAAAACTGAAACTTTTTTTTGGTGTTTATTTTTAAAAAGCAGGGAATGTCCCACGATACCCCATTGCCTGTTCCACTGTGCCCATGGGTAGGGGTACAGTGGGACACTTAGACTGCCTTTGAGATTTCACCATTCAGCAGAAAACTGTCTCTTTGAATGAAGAGAGACTTGACATTTTTTGTAGCCAGGAATGTCCTCTAATGGAAGAACTACTACAATCCCCAAAAATATTAGTGACTTGACATTTTTTTTGACAATTTCAAGTAATTGTTCCACTGTACCCCAGTCTCCCCTACCTCAGCACAAACTTGGACTAACGGGTGATGCGGGAAAATAGTGACTTGAATTGGTCGTCTGTATCTGGCCATCTGGCAATTACTTTCAAATGCTTTAATAGCCTATCTTGTAGCACATTTTATGTAGTTTCTCCCTGTGCTATTGGTTTTTTTTTAACAATTGAAAAAATTTAGAAAAATGGCTTCAAAAGAAGATACCTTCAGATCCAGAGTGTACAAGTTCTATTCCGACAACATCGAGAAGGGAAAACTCCACACGGTTCGGCATTTCCAAGCTGAAGGGGTGCCCAAATGGACTGTATACCGGATCCTCACTCGTTTCCACAACAATCTACCTGCATCTTGTCAGCCTGGCTCCGGTAGTTCCAACAAAAAAAATGACTCCGCACAAGCTGGCTGCCTTGAGGCGGGCGATGGACAACAGGGACAGGTTTTCTCAGCGCCAAGTGGCCAAGAAGTTCGGGTGCCATCAGAGTACGATCCAGAGAAGCCTGGAGAAGCAGCGCATTCCCCAACGATCTGCGGCCCAGATTTCCAACACCAAAAAGTTGAGTGGGCGACTTTTTTGGAAGTTTGGAAAGGTCGCTTGGATCATCGACGATGAGTCCTACTTCACCCTCTCCCACTCCACCATCAGCAGTAACCAGACCTTCTACACATCCGACATCAACACCACACCCCCTAGCGTTAAGTTTTCCCCGAAAACCAAGTTCGAGAAGAAGGTTCTGGTGTGGATTGCCATTGGACCAAATGGCATGTCGGAACCACTGATCAAGGAGTCCAAATTTGCGATCAATGGCCAGGTCTACCTCGAGGATTGCATCAAGAGTCGTCTGCTACCCTACATCAGAACCAACTACGACAACAATTATGTGTTTTGGCCTGACAAGGCCAGCTCTCACTACTCAAAAGTGGTGATTGAGCACTTGGACCGCGAAGGGGTGAATTATGTGGCCAAGGAGGACAACCCCGCGAACCTGCCGGAAGCCCGATCTATCGAGGACTTCTGGGCCATTCTGAAGTCCCGCGTTTACGCCAATGCCTGGAGAGCAGAAAACACCCGGCAGTTGACCAATCGGATCAGATTCTGCCTGCGGAACATGGACCGGAAACTTGTACAGCGCCTGGCAGAGAATGGGCCATTCTGAAGTCCCGCGTTTACGCCAATGCCTGGAGAGCAGAAAACACCCGGCAGTTGACCAATCGGATCAGATTCTGCCTGCGGAACATGGACCGGAAACTTGTACAGCGCCTGGCAGAGAGTACCCAAAAACAGCTTGATGAAATCCGAAGGAACGGAGTCGTAGAAAATTGCTAGTATATGTCATTTGTAGTATTTTTCATGCGCTTTCAGATGATGTATAAAAGCTGTTGATGTTTTAATAAAATGATGAAGAAATTGTTGTTGAAAGAAAGTCACTATTTTCCCGCATCACCCGTTAGTATCAAGCTATGACATAAGCATCGCTAAAAACTGAGATCCTATTGTAGAAAAGGATACTTGACAATGTAAGTGCAAATATCATCAACTGTATGGGAATGGTTGGCCTTGATGATGAGGCGAGTACCATCAGCAAGGCGCACCTGAATTGTGGTCACCGGCTCACCATCTTTGAGTTTCAACTCCTTTTTTGCATGTTCCTCATTTGCCTCCTTGTCCTCCTGTGTGTTCATACCTGTTGCACCAATCACAGGGGGAGCTGGGCTACCAAGCAAGTGACCTTTTCCTGTGAAAGGCCTCTTAATCACTTTTGGGGCTGTGTATGTCTCGTCTCTATGATCCTCCATGTTCAAATGCACTTCCCCTCCATTCGCTCCCTGGATAAGTTCTTGGGGGATTTCCCTGTCAACAACATAAGCATAAATCATAAATGAAGAAGAAGAACCTTGGGGGTGTATTCTTCTACTCACCCACGTCGAATGGATTCCAGGAACTCCTTGTTGCTGGGATCACTATAGTCTCGAAGTGCTTCACCATCTACACTGAACCCTTCCTTCCAAAGTTGCAGCACTGCTGTTTTTGGATCTGCTGGCTTTAAAGCTCCTGGCACAGCTATCATTGAGCAAAACATTACATGAACCTTTACTAAATTACTCATACCAAAAACCATACTCATCCCACCCCATACTAAAAATACATGTATGCTTACTGATTTTACTATTATGATAGATGATATTATGATACTGATATTATGATATTGACCCTATTATGATAGGGTTGGCAAAAAGTAACAAAAATCGATTTCTTATTTTCTTATTTTTATCTGGTTTTTTTTTTTTTTTTAGATCTGGCCACTTTCCTTTAATAAAGACCTTTATTAGGCCTATCCATTGTCCATGAATGCCAAATAAGATGCAAAAATATGACCAGCAAAAACATTAGCAGCAAGACAGGAAGATATTGAATAAATGAATGAATAACCCATAGGGAAATCCTTTCACTTTCTTTCCTTCAACCAAATTGAATTTTTCATAATTGGCTTTTATATTTTTATTCCAACAATGACTGCTTCTCAGTAGAGGCTGGGTTAACCCCAGTTTGATGAGTTTAGTTTTTCTGACTTTTAAGGTATTGGGTTTGAAGTATCAATTGCATAGAAGGGTTCAATTCATTTTGGATTCTATGGACATCAGCTATTTTATGTCTGGCTAGTGGGTTCAGTTTCAAGCATACAATTTTTCATTGTTCTGGGCTCATTTCAGTTCAAGTTTGACACATCACCTAAGAAGAGCATTGAGAGAAAAAAAGGACACTTATCCACCTTTACATACCTTAAATTATACCATTAAAAACACAACTTTTTGAGAGATTAGGCATGCAATTGACTTCAAAAAAGTTCAGGAACAGGGGTTAAAGTTTACTTGGATTCATGACTTGAGCAGAAATCAGTCTGAGCCTTCCTCAATCACAAGTTTGGAACTTTAATTCTTGGTTAACTCACAATAACTATGACAATTAGGCAAACAGTTTTACATGCTTTTCCCTCCATATTCATTTCAGCCCATCTGGATCAATCACTCACAAGGAATGAGGTGCTCTTGGATAATTTCACTTCAAAAGGGTTATGACAAAGTATGGTCTCCATGGAATACTTTTTAAACACATCTCTCATTTCAAAGCAAGCCTGGATTCTTGCTTTGAAATGAGACAATGCTGGCTTGTGGTAGTCATATGTGCTCAGCACATGTGACTGAAATATAATCCCATGATTCTTAGATGGTTGAAATTAGAACCTTGAAAAAATTTTTAAATAAACTAAAAGGAAAGACTGCAACTTTTGCCTAACTGGGCCCAAGGGGAACAGGATATGCAACCACTTTCATTATGTCTGTCAAATTCATGCAACTTTAGCCAATCTTATAATCAAATTGAGCTCTTATACCTGTTAAACAACAGGCTAAGTTCATAGCATATTTTAATTACTTCAGCTGCAGCATTAAATGAAGGACCAGATTATGACATCATCTGATCATATGATATATGGCATCTGTCTATTTTTTCTAGTTAGAATAGACTTGTAATTTTGGCAAATTTGAATGTCTTTTGCTTTTTGTGCATATGGTTTTCCCTTTCATGAAAATTTCATTCGATGATTTCAGGTACAAATTCTAGGGGGGTAAAAACTGTCATTATGACTGCCTTTGTACAACATACAATTTTTAAAAATTGCTTTTAAAAAATCTTTAGCTAAATCAGTCAACCCTGCAACACACCACATCATTGTGTAATGTGTAAACTAGGCAGCTAATACACTCAAAGTGACTTACCATATGAACTAATCTTTCCCTACAAAAATGTTCATCTCAACGTATATGGGAGAATTCCCCCCCCCCCACTTTAACCAAGCAGTGACAATGCAATAACAGCAAAGTACATAGCATATTTGTCAACAGCACCTAAAACTCTTCACAATATGCAATGAATGAATCTCTCAAGCTGTTGCATACTCATCAACTCATTGGCTGGAGGCTGAACAAAACAGAATCATTCTCATGTATATGTCTCACCTATTCAAAGAAATCTCATGAAATTATCATACAATCACTCTTGCTATGAGCAGTTTCACAGCAAGTTTGACTGTTGCTAAGTCACCTCCTTAAGGATCAATAAAATTTAAAAAAAGCTAGACTGCAGGCCCATTATCCACTTCTCCCACCTAGAATGAACCATCAGTGACCACTCATGTCCATTACTCTGCAAGTCTCTAAATGTATCTGCACCAATACTTCCTCACAAACTCCAAATGAGAAAACCATTCAAAGAAACTTAACCCTTTGCCTGCTGAGTTTTTTTTTTCTTTTTGAGGCAGTACCCCATATGAGTATATTTCAGACTTTAGTCTGTTTTAAGATAGTTGGTTCTAATTTGAAAACATATTCCCCTTGTGATGGCAATGAATTGATATCAGATCAACACCTGATAGACTAGATTTACTAACACTGTACTATGTACTAAGAATGGTACATCCTTGAAGTGGCAGATGTACATAAAGGGTGGGCCAAAAAAACAAAGCTGTCTACCTGAAAACCAGCCTAGTTCTGTTAGAAGCAGATAAACCAACACAAATTCAGGTTTGGATCATATCAGGCCAAAATAAATAAACAAACTTTCAGACTTAACTAGGTTTGGGTCTGATTTGGATGAGGAATCATGTAATGGAACTGAGGGGAATGCAAGTTATGAATTAATCCTTTCAGATGACCCAAAAGTCAGAGTGAATTTTTGCATTCTTTTCATTCTCCAAAAACTACTTGAAAATATAAAACAAGTTAACCAAACACAATCATTGCATGTCGGGATGGTGCTTACGCTCATGATCAGTTGAGGTTTGACCAAGACGCATCCCAGTTCCAATAAAAGCTGCTCCCATGTGGTCTTTTTTCATTGCAGAATCGCTACTGGGACCACTCATAACTTCCTCAGCTCCTTGCCTATAAGAAATGCACAGACATAATTTTTCTATGAAAAGCATGATGGAAAAAATTTGAGGCTACTTTGCTATGCAGCCTCAATTGAAATTTAGGAGTATATTCATCAAATCAATTTTTTACTTGTATTTAAAAAAAAATCATATGTACTTCCTGATACTTTGGCACCATGTCAAAATTAATGTATAAATACATTTGATAAGTTTCTTGAGAAGGCAGGGAAAGCCATTCTACTCTCACTCTCCCATCAACAATTTTGGCTTTATTATATTTTAAAATATATATATTGGAGGGTGTGGCACCATGGGTCACTTTTTTTGTGGGCCTGTAACTTATGTATTTTTATTCTTCTGAAGCAATGGTAAATGTAAATACTCAAAACACCTACACAATCCAGTGTTTCAAATTTGTTAACATACAAGTGTCATCAGATAAAGTCATATTTTAAAACAGGGCACCGTGGGTCAGTGTCCGGGGTACGATGGGTCAACCCCATTACTTCATTTGACCCAAAGTAATCACACAAAGAAGTCTTTACACCCCAGGAGGAGAAGCTCTTGAACACTGATGCACTCCACCAAAGTCATCTAGAAAAATTAAGAATCTTTAATCTGAAAATAATATACAATTCGTTTCACATCCAAGAATTTCACATTTGCTGGTGTTGAACTCTTCAGAGTCTTCTGCTTCTATTTGCACTTTACTAGATCAGAAAAAGACTGCAAAGGAAATCAAGATCTGTATTGCCAACTATCAGAAAACATTTGGCACACTGAGTTATGACCCTTTGTGCCAAAATAGAGTGACTTATCATGCCCCAACAGGAGTCATTGAAGTGAAATCAATATTTCAACCAGAGTAAGTTGAGATTGTAGCTCATATGTGCAGGCATTGAACTACCCATCTCCCAAATCAAATTCCAGTAAGAATCTAGACTATTCATCAAATAATTAGCAAAAATTGAGACATCACTGCCCACAAAAACGAAAAAAATGTCTTCTATAGAAAAACATCCACACAATTTGCACTTTGGGTGGGGACAACACTTTTTTAAACTATACTTTCCTGGCACCTCAGCAGGAAGATATGTAGTATACAACATGAAGAGAAACAGAGCTGGGAAAGCTATAAACAGCCTGACTCATGGTACCTTGTGACCCATGGTGTCCCACTCTCCCCTATTTTTAATGGTTTTATATAGCAGGGTTTCCTGCAGAAAATCTTTGAAATAGGCATGTCCATGCTGCAAGCAGTATGGCTGAGAGCCCCTCAAAGAGGAAATAGTTCTTTTTGCTTATTTATCTCTCCCCTTTTTCCCACCTCCCTCTCCCCTCCCATGCAATGTGGAAAGGCAATAATGAGGAGTAGGCTAGGCTGAAGGAAATTCACTCATTCATGCTGACAATGGTAGAGAAGGGTTTCATGATGGATTCAGGCAAGGGGGGCTGAGATTATTGCAGAGAAGGTAATGAATATGGGAACAGAGAAAGTGTCAGCCCAACATGCTTGCACTCTCTGCAGAGAACCCTGACATACATGGGCATATATTTTGCATGCAATCCATTTGGCTTTCCCATGCACTGCCATATACATAATCACATAAGACTGATTGTACTGAGTATCATATACAGGGTGACAAATAAGTCCTGCAACCTACAGGACAAGAGATTTTTCATCTATGATTGTGTAATAATTTTTTTTTGCAGGTGAGAAGTGGCATTTCTGTCAATTTAGTAAAGAACTTTGTTGTGAAATGCAACATGCTATTTCCTCATTTCCAACACTTACTATAATGGTTTCTAATAAATACTGAATACTCCCATGAGTTGTGGGACTTTCTATCACCATGTATAACAGGCTTATTCCATCATATAATACATACCTTTACAGGGTGTAACAAAGTTTAGAATCAGGATTATTATCTGCTTAGACTGTAAGGAATTTACCCTCCTATCTGATGGGATAGAGTAGAGAAATCTGGTCCAAGTGACCCAAATTGATCCAACAAGAACCCATTATTCTAAAATGACCTGAGTTTACCAAAAGTGCATTCACATTTATTCAAACAGTTGGGTAGGCTGATATAACTTTAGAATGAGCATTTCAGTCTGTGCTATTTTTTTTTTTTTTTTTTACTTCATCTGAAGCTGATAAAAAGGCACATAATAATTAGTTGCATTGTTGGAAGGTTTTCCTAAGGACTTTTTTGGGGGGACACAATGTGAACAAATGTCATTTTAGATCCATAAAAATTCAGTGTTTAGCAGTTTTTCACAATCTTGACATTCTACCTGTAATAACACTTCTAATAGCATTTGGCTTTCAAAATTTAAGAACTTAATGAGGATTCAAGCAAACTACAAATTGCTGACTTGTCACCTAAACTAATAGCTAATAAACCTCTGGCTATGGAGGGATTCTCAAAGGTCATGAACTATAAACATGTAAAATAGATCCTAGTATGAAAGAAGATCCATTTTCAAAAGGTGGATGGATATAAGAGAACTTACTCGCGTGCACTGCGAAACATTTCTTCAATGATTTTGCCAGGTGATTTGCGAGGAGGCCCAAGCACCTGCTGCCCACTGTGCTCTGACCCACCTGCAAAAAATGCTTGGCCTTCTTCATCACCTGCACTATTGCTGGTTGCTTTTAGAGCATCCATGGTCATGATCTTGGGTCTGGAAAAAGATGGAGAGGCAGAATATCAAGTCTAGGCATTACTATCAGTATCAATTACTCTGCCTTCTTTGAGATACCTTGCTTTCAAAATTTGTCAACTTTTACTTTTGCATGTAATAGTTAGACCTACACTTTGTAGTCTTTCATGTAAACAAGAATCAATGAGAGAGAATAGCAGATTTTCTGTGGTCACTAAAAATACCTTGAAGGAGGAGATGAAGAGGAAAGGTGACTTGGTTTTCCATCTGCTGGTCCAGGGCTGGATCTAGGTGACCCGCCACTCCCACTTTCAGCCCCTGCTTCATCATAAAAACTGGATAGGGCCACCTGGAATGCATTAAAAGAAGGGAAATAGGTAGAACTCATTGCTCAACCTTAGCTCCAACTGTGATACACCTCATAAAAATGAATTAAAAAAAAACCTTTTAGCTATGACTGAAACTACACTATATTGCCAAAAGTAAAAGCCCACTTGTAAAATGATGTTTGATGTGTAGTGTCACAGTGGAAGTCAGTAACCATATGGATGCCTGATAGCAGGTATATTATATATGGAATGTTCATGGTCTAGAAATTCAGTTATTAGCATGATGAGAGTTCACTAACTTCCAAGGGAACATAGTAGTTGGATAGCAGTTTGGCTGGAATGTTCAGTCTCATTATTGCAACTCTTTGCCCTTTCACGCAGTACAGTGTGTATTTTCATAGTAATGATAGCATAATGGAAGACTCATGGGCCTGCTGGTAACATTCTTGGCTGGGATAAGTTCAGGCTGTCACTCATGCCAAAGGGAGCAACACCAAATTGACAAGTGAGGCAATAGCAATGTTCCGTATTTTAAGCCTTTCAGTCCTGAATTATGTTCTAGGCATGGAAAAAATATGTAATAAACTTTTTGGGCTTCAACAAGGCAAATGTAACATAAAAGAGCTTTTAAAATTGTTACCTCAAGTGCAATTAAATATTTATTTTAATTATTTTAATTAAATGAATAAAATCATATTTAATTAGTTCAAATAGTACTCATATCCCTATTTTATGTCATATGTTTCTCAGTATTTCTGTACTAATTTCCATTATCTGGCTTACAAAAACAGAAAAAATTGGCTGGGAAGGAAATGTCTTATCTGAAATAAATATAAATGATGACATCATTTTTGAAGTGCCAGAGGAAATACAGCAGCTTTTTATTACTGTGGGCTGCTGTCATTTTGACAACATATGATGAATTACTATAAACAGGGACTCAGAATCCCACCATGGCCTCAAGGTCATGCATACCTATGTAGCCCTATAACATGCTAAGAAAATGCAGGACTCCTAAGTCCTGCCAGGACTGAAAGGGTTAAAGAGTAGGCCTTCACAATTGCCAAGATACCATATCTGGTTTGAGCCATTTCTCAAGAAACCTGCTACTGCAGCAATCAAACTAATAGAGAATGACCAACATTAGATCTTTTCTCTACAAAAGACAGAGGGATGGGTGACAATTCAGAAAAATTGTCAGGGAGCTTTAGTTACATTACTTATTACTAACAGATTTAATTGCATCTTAGATTTTTCCTGCAATACACTTCAAACACCTATCAAAATTTCCATGAGCTTGAAGAGTCCCATACAACAAACTATTGGAAGAGCCTCAAATTCCTCCAATGATTCAGTCTAAAATTTTAACATAATCTCTCATGTACAGAAACAACAGTCTTTGAACTGCAGAATTTATTGCAAGCAAAAATTTGCAAGCTTTTCCTGTGGTCAATAACACTGAATCATTTTTGAGTAGAGGTGTGAAATTAGGTATGCAAAACAATGCTTTAAGATCATGAGTGAAACCTAAAATTTCTGTCTTCAATGCATGATTTTTATCATCTAGGAGGGTGGCATTACTTTAACTATTTAAAAAATACACTGATATTTACAACACTTTCCAGATCTACATCAAACTGTCATGGGCCTGTGGTTCCCAAACTTTCTTTACCTTTATTGAAACTTCATGGTTATAACTTGTTATAGTAAGTGGTGGGTTATAACCAACCACTTGAGAACTGTAGTATTATGCAACTACTGAGAAGATGACACATTCCAGAGTGCTGTCATGCCCATAACACCTCAGTGATTTTACTTTCACTTTGAACCAACATCAAAAATTCTCATGATGATTCAATGGACATCTGGAAGAAACATCCCAATGGCTAGCACTGACCCATGGAAAGGTTGGCATGAACTGAAAATGAATTCATGATCACGTTCAGTTCCCCTATTGATTTTAAACAATGAATACATAGACCCAACAGGCTCAATATCCATGTTTCACTAATAGAAGAATGAAAGGAGATTTAAAGAAAAGGAAAATACTAATTTTCTCCTATCTGTATCATTGTGCCAATGAGCCAATACCAAATGCAAATCCTGCATGAATATGCCTATTTCTATCTCTTCCCATACCAAGTCATTCTCTTCAGCCAACAACTTCCATGGATTTGTTTGAGTATTATCATTGCATCATCAAATCACAGGAATAATGTTTCTGATACAAACCCAGCAGTCTGGAATGAACTGCAATGAAATTTGATGAAGTTGCAAATGCCAAGGTCCTTGCAAATCCTTCTCCTAATGCCATCATAGATATTCTGACAAAACACATTGCAATTGAACTAATAAGTAATGTGATTTGAAATGGAACCATAGAAAGCATTTTTTTCCTTGATATCTGTAGCACATGATATTTGCAAAATTTTCTTCCAATTATTAATGTGAATGATACAGTAATTCTCACTTGAGTTAGACAATTTTTCACTTGACTCAGGCACATGTACATGGAACATTTCTCATGCATGAGTGTCAAAGTCAAGTGAAAAAGTGTCTGACTCAAGTGAAAAATACTGTAAAGGCATTTGGCACATTAGTACTCTTGACACAGAGTACTGTTTTTGGTTTCCATTATGGAGAAAGAGCAAAAGAGTAAAGCTCAGGACTTTCAAAATGGATCAAGAAGTGATGCTTAGCAGAATTGATATAGCATCTTAAATTTATTGAGTCTTACTAATTAAATGAATCCTACAATGAACTGCTGTCACACATGCAAGAACTATATATTTGAATCCACTAGAAAGATATAAGCTGAGGCCTTTCCAAAACATTTGTTCACGTGGGAGAGGGGGAAATAAATAAATAAGACCCAAAACTAGTGAATTATCTTGGTCTATAGTTTTTTTTCAGCTACATCAAACAGCTCTTCATATGACTCCAACACCCATGCATAGATAATGCCATAGGACTTGGCTTAGTCATCCACAGCTGCTAGTCACGTGAAAAAGGCCAACTTGATTGAAAAAACTGTAGGCCTAATCATTTATCATAGACCACTATCACATGCAGCAATTTTTTTATACTAACACTAGACCTACAAATAGCATGTATGCTACAATATGTTCCTTACATTGAGATCCCAGTTGGCAGATTCCAGAAAAAATTTGGCTCTCTCATAATCGATTCCAGTCACAGAGCAGAATTGTGATATTTCTGGTTGATGAGACTCCATTCTTGCTTCCAGTCCTATAATATCAAGACAATGCTTAGCCTGCAGTGATTATCAAGCAAATGTACCCACTTATTTTGTCACTGGCACAGTCATCCAGGGTACCTGAACCTGGTAAATGCAAAGAATGCAATGAATCATCACTAGCATGACACAATACCTAAGGCCAATTGCACTCCCTTAAATCAGTCATACTTTCATGTAAAATCCACCTCAGGAAATGAGTCAAAGGCCCAAATGCTGAAACCTTACTTAAGCAAAATAAAGGGCCTTCAAGTTAAAGAGCTCTTTTACCCCCATAGAGGTCTGGGGATTCTTAAAGAACCATTAACAGGTTTCAGCATTCAGGCTTGAAATTTTAGCCAGCTGCAGTGACTATGACTATGTCTAGCTTCTAGCAATAAGTAAACATATTTTCTTATGAAACAGTGAGATTACTCATTTGGCTGCCTGGCATGAGAGCAGTCCAAGGATCTACTAAGAATTCTTCAGAAAAGGAATTCTGGTCTTTTAGAAAAGCTATATTATTATAAGCTGTAAAAAATGTATATATTTCACCAAGAAAAAATTCCCATAGTACCATACTGAGAGACCACTTGAATGTATGGAATTTTAAGCTCATGCTAGGTACCTGCTTCCAAGTATTCCAAGAATAACATTTTTTTTATATAAGTGGGAAATTTCTCATTCATGTCTAAAAGCATGACAAAACAACTTCATCAGGTTTTCAAAGTAGTTTCTTACAATTTGGATCATGGCATTGATTTTTCTGTTGAGGAAAATAAGATAATTTCACTTTATTAAGTACTAAAAGTACTTGATAAAAAGTACTACACATCTCTTGTTGAAGTGCCAACAAAGAAATTATTAAGGCCATGTTATGAATTACATCATAAATCTGCAGCAATGAGTTGCGTTGCATTTTTTCCCTCCTTGAAAGCTGCCAATGTGAAAAAACATCTATGCTTGAAAATACTATTTCTTTTTGGGAGCCATGGTGATCATTCTAAGCACTTAAGCATCACTACACTTTGAAAATGAGCAAACCTTCCCATTCTCTCCAAGGGCCAGACTTTGAATGCATCAAGTCTGACTTCTTTTATGTGAAAGCCAATCTAAAGGTGAGGCAGAGCTAGTGCAACAGATGCTTAAGCCAGACTTTCTGCAGTCTGACTTTTTGAAAGGTCCAACTTCCAGTCTGACTTGGGCCTTTTAGACCTTACAACATTTTGTATATCTAACGATTGCTTTTTCCATGTTTAAAATGAAGATAGAAGGAGAAGCTGAAAATACATGGGAAAAAGGGGGGGGGGGGCTAGGCCTACTGACAGGATCTTCACAGACGTGGGGCTCGTTAAGTACTGAACTGTTGAACTGTTCGTCACTATGGGAAGAGTGATGAGAGAACGCGCCTATATGAATGGGGAGGAGCCATCTTTAACGCAAGCAACCTATCCTTGCCCTTGATTGAATGAATTAATAAATGGATTTACTCATAGAGTATAATAAGGACAGGCTCAGAAATAAACTACCCAAATAGCACAATATAATATACAGAGCGTCACAGAACCTAAGTCCTCCTTCCCCCCCCCCCCCCCCCCCCCCTCTCCCCGTTGGGTACCCTGTATATTCCAGCAGCGTTCCAGAGGAGCTGATGAGCAATGCTGTTCCAATACAAAAATTTCCGACGCATCAACGTTACTTATATGCCATGAAAAGAACATTCTTTCTTCTCTTATATCCCTGTGAGGCTGAAATTTTCTGCACGGGAATGTAACCCTTTGGGATGTCAAAGATCAAGTGTTCTTTTTTTACTCACATGGGAATTAGTGTGCCCGTTTAGATCCTGGAAACGATGCTCATTGCACTCGAAACTGCCGTCTCAGGAAGAGTCGGACGGACATTACGGTGACATTAAGGGACCTTGTCCCATCTGATAGAGTGAAATTCAATTATACTTTTCGTAATGTACAGCCCATGAAGAAAGGACACTATTTGAAACGTCCTTCCTCCATCCTAAGAATCAGAATTGCCTGGAGTTTCTTTGGGCTCGGTTAACTCTTTAGGCGACTATATCGAGTAAATCCAACGATTTCCCCTAAGTTGTCTGTTGATAACGATGGTAGGCATGAAGAATTCTGGGGACTCATTCCAGTGCTATCAGAGAGTGACTCACTGTTTCAGCGATATAGGCGCCATCTTCTATCGGCTTTGGGAATCTTGTTCGAGTAAGTGCCATACGACTTCTCTGTTCACCTTGTATTTCCCTCTATAGTTTACTATTTTTTCGAAATAATTCAGTCTTTGTCATTTCAGAGAAAAGAGTAGTATGGTGTCAAACAGTGATTGCCACCTTCCTGCGGGCAAACCTGGACTGTGCTAACCCACACAACACAATTGCATTCCAAAGATGTCTCAGAGATATCCACTAGGGACCAGCGAGAAGTCTGGGATATTCTTTTTGGGGACATCCCAGGGATATGAAAATGTCCGTTCCGGCCCGTTAGTTCATTTTGTCCTGCCGGTGAAGTCCATTTCACTATTTCGTTTTGGAAAAGCGCTGAGACTTCAACCAGTTCGCATTAAAAATTTCGTTCGTTTTAAGATTTCTTAGTGTTGTCCTCAACTACTTCTGAAGGGTTCCATCCGACCCCCAGCTTAATCGAGTTTTAACCCCTGTTCTAGGACTTCCCAGTGCTACGTTATTGGCCCATCGAGATTCACTTGAAACAATTACGTTAGACCTCCTTTCATTGAAAGACCCCTAAATTAGAGTCTCAACTCCTGGGGTATCAATCGGATGGCGCAAATAAAAAAGCGTCCTTTTTGACGCCTTACGAAACCGACTGTATATATCCTAGGTTCGTAATTTTTTTGTATCACGCTGGAAACGCTACAAAATTTGCTTCATGAAAATTTCAAGTGTCTAAGTCGTCCGGATAAAGAGCGACTGTCATTAAAAGGGCAGTCATGAAATGTAACATTTTTCAGGCATGAGGTGGAAGCAGTGGCTCAAAAGACTTCTCTCCTTTGACACCATGAAGGTCGTTTTTCAAGCTGTATCCTCATAGCATTTTTGATTGTATGGTGTATTCAGGCCTCAGGTGAGAAGGTAAAGCCTGAATATGATGGCGTGTTTAGAGTATAACGACTGGAGAGGGAAGGGAATAGAGAGAGTTTCCTATGAAATCGTGGACTCCATCGTGTGGAGCCTCTCCCCTATCCAGCCCTTGTTTTAACCCTTTCAGACGCTGCGTCTGCTCAAATGGATGCCACATTTCGTTTTTCTTCTTTCTCTTGTGCTTTCTCGTGATTCTCGTGATGTTGCACCCCATTGCCCACTACGGTGGACACAATTCTAAACTCCTTAGGAAGCTCACTGGAAGTCAGTTGAATTATTCTCACAAACTCGCAAATATTTATTTCCGATCGTGGCCTAAACGAGGTCTTGAGAACAATCCTTCAACGAAGTGACTTTCCCCATGAAAGATACGGCATGATGACACTGGACAGCCAAGAACATCACAATAGAAAATGCAGCCATACCTAGCAGGCCTTGGCGACAGATTGAAGAAATCTACAGAGCACCAATGAAACCGCTGCCTCTCGATGCGTGGAAAAACGGAGGTTTCTTATCGAAGTTTCAACGACTGTTGCAACTTAGAAACTATGAAACTTTCATGAAAAAATTGATTGTTTTCTGTTAGAAAAAAAATAAGGACAAATCTAGCATTTCTACTGTATGTTTTAATGTTTCAAACAGGACGCGTTTTCTTGCACCACCAGATAGTACGTCTTCGCGAGCAACTCTTCGATTTCAGAAAGATACATGTTGACCTTTTCCGTCAGCATTGAAGTATAGGATCAGATTACCAACCAAGATAGTTGTATCCAGATCATTACTAAGAATAAACCGAAATGGGACCCCAATAAGTTCACTTTCCTAATTGTCGGTTTTCCTGATGCATGGTTGGAAAATCATTACTTCTTTATGCAAATCAACTATATAAAAGTGATAGAAAAGATCTGAGGATTTGAGATCATGGCTCTTGCGAGACATCTCCCGTCGAGATTATGCAGCCGGAATTCTAGTTCTCGAGATCTTTTATCAAGTCAATTTTATTCTGGCCGGTTTTGTACCGAGGGAAATTTTTCGCTCGTACACCTAAATACCTGACACTGGGGGGAATCGAAAAGTTTTAGAACGCATTCAAATTGGAGTGTGACATGTTGAAGGCATACTTGACAAAGGTAAAACATTATCTGCATGCGTTAAAATGCGTTGACTACTGGAAAAATGCTATTTTTTCGGGTGTCTATCTCACATTATGTCCCTTAGCGCTGTATATCAGCCGAACTGCTGAATTCTGGGTGTTAAAAATTCTGTATATGCATTCCTTTGCGTCTAGGATTTATCCTTCTCATACGAAGAAACGTTCGGCAAAGTGCCTTTTAAAATTTTTTTTTTCAAAAAATTTAACTTTACCATGGAAGATGAAAGTGTACCATTGTATCCCTTGACAAAGTGCATGGCCTCATCATGCTCATGGAATCGAATTCATGTCCTCTGCGCAGAAGTCACGGGTTGGGCATGTCCGGACCCAAGTAACACTAGAACGATTAATGAATGTTCTTGAGGTACTGCCAATGGCAATGAAGTCCTTGGGAACGTTATTTTGACTGTTTGAGACTGATCCGATCTCTTCGAAAGAATAGTAATTCATCTTTTCTTTGCGAATTCGTTCGAACCCGTCAGATCTTATGCAACTCCAAGGAAGGCAAAACCTCTCGAGCGGTTCCTTTCACCAATCGGGATAAAAATGAAGATGATGCTTTTCAAGTCACGAAAACTTTCACTATAGGTTTTCACACTTGTTGATCAGGATTCAGTGGTACAAGTGGCTAGTTGTCATGTACATTCCAAAAAGAATATTTCGCGCCAGTGGCGTAGCCAGGATTTTTCCTAAGCGGAATGGTGGGAGGGCTTACTTCTTCTCTCCTGGTGGGAAGGTGGGGGGTGGCGGATGCATTTAGATCGGAGTTGGGGAAGCTTGAACCAAACTTGAGGAGGCTTCAGCCCCCCCCCCCCCACCCCTCCCCTTGCTACGCCACTGTTTCGCGCTGTTCGGA